GCCTACAATATTGTTTTCAAACATAAAGATGAGAATTACATAATATTTATCATAAACAAAGATTAGTAATTCCAAACTCATAGGATAATAATAATATACATAAAATGACACAAAAATTACCCCAAAAAAAATATATAGCTATGAAAAGCAACAATAGTTTTGGCGATTAATCATGTTGATTGGAAAATGTGTAATTTTTTTTGCGAGTTTGTCGTGTCTATCTTAACCAGAAAGGATAATACCCCCACCCTTCCTTACATATACTTCTTTGAGCATGAGAGCAATCGTTAAAGAAGAATATTCTCCCGACCCGATATAAACTATATAATAGCCACGAAAATATCAAATATTCATCATTCTTTTCATCACGAAAGTCTTTTAATTTTCTTTTATGTCGTTCAACAAGGGGTAATATATCAGTTCTTGTATCTCTAAGAAAAAGTTTTATTATATTTTTACTATTAATGAATGTGTTTTATACTGTTTTAGCTTTGGTTTGCGTGATCATGTTCATGTCTAAATAATTTCTTTGTTAGCAATAAGAGATTTTCGAAAGGAATTTTATGGTTCCATGTATAAAAGTTTAACTATACAGTGGCGCTCTTGATAATTTAGAGTAGACATTCATCTAAATCTGATCTTATTGCATGTTCTTACTGATCATTTAAGAATTGATTATAAAACGATTTCGGCTTACACAATATTTGAGTTATTGTTATGATTTGATGTATGGGTATAGCATTTTAGCATGCGATAGTTGAGTTACTAAGTTAAACGAACAATTGAACTTGATAATAATTACATGTGACTGCGAAAATTAATTAATAAGATATTTTAAACATTGATGGTTATCATCACGAAAGTCCGGTTAATCATACTAGAAATTGTTGGATACATACTATCATCTTTCACCATAGAAAATGTCGAGCTCAGGAACACCAATCGATTCCACATCTACCACTATCACTACATATTTTTGCAAATTTTATATCTGAATTTGCACATAATCATCTCTTAACCAAAATCCCATATAGGTTAAAGAAATGATAATAATATTTCTTTACTATGTTATGGACCCCAGTATCTGCCAATAAATATAACCATCACTCCAAAGTTTCCATACCAGCTGAGAAGCATCACTCTTGAGAATAAATTAAGAAAAGAAAGAGCTCACTTTCTTTTCTTTTTTCTTTCTCGCAAACACTAAAAAACCTCATGGGTCATTGCCAAGACGACCAGCTAGTGAACACGATCTACGATCTGTACGAAAAGATCTCGAAGCTCGAGAGCCTGAAACCATGTGAAGATGTCAACACTCTTTTCAAGCAGCTCGTGTCCACATGCATACCACCAAACCCTAACATCGACGTGACCAAGATGTGTGAAAGCATCCAAGAGATGAGATCAAACCTCATCAAAATCTGTGGAGAAGCTGAAGGTCACTTAGAGCATCACTTCTCTTCAATCTTAACCTCTTTTATAGATAACCCACTTCACCATTTGAACCTTTTCCCTTACTACAACAACTATCTCAAACTAAGCAAGCTTGAGTTCGATCTCCTCGAACAGAACCTTAACGGATCTGTTCCAAAGAGTGTAGCTTTCATAGGCTCTGGTCCTCTCCCTCTCACTTCCATCGTTCTTGCCTCTTTCCATCTCAAAGACTCGATCTTTCACAACTTTGACGTCGACCCGTCAGCGAATTCCGTTGCAGCTCGTCTGGTTTCGTCTGATCCTGATCTCTCTCAACGCATGTTCTTCCACACCGCTGATGTAATGGACGTGACAGAGAGCTTGAAGGGCTTCGACGTTGTGTTCTTGGCTGCTCTTGTTGGGATGGATAAACAGGAGAAGATTAAAGTGATCGAGCATCTTGAGAAACACATGTCTCCTGGTGCTCTGCTCATGTTGAGAAGCGCTCATGGACCTAGAGCCTTTCTATATCCCATCGTCGAGCCTTGTGATCTCCAAGGTTTTCAAGTGTTATCGGTTTATCACCCGACCGATGAAGTTATCAACTCTATTGTGGTTTCAAGGAAGATGGGTGGAGACGAAATCAATGGCGTCGATCACATGGATGAAGCTTCTGAGCTCGGATGCAACTGTTCCCAGATCCACACGATTATGAACAAGAAGAAGAGCATAATCGAGGAGTTCGCAGGCGCTATTGAAGAGCAACTTTCTTAGGGAAATACTGTTTCATTACAGCTTTCTTGATCTATCTGTGATGTCTTTTTACGGAAGTGTTGGGTGTTCTTGCTACAGTCTTGTTCTTGTCTTTGTCTTCTTTCTACTGTTTCTTTGCATCTGATTTGATATTTGACAATGGCCACTTCTTTTTGTTTGTTGGATTCTGCTAAGTCTATTGCAATTTGCCAAGGGTCAACCAAATAGATTTTGTGAGACAACGGTAAAACAAAGCTTGTCCAAGCCACAGTGTCGGCATTA